GACATCAGCAATGATATCCCTCATTCCACAGCCTCTTTTGAAGCTGGCTTGAACCGGGGAAGTTCTCTGTCAATGTATGATTATAGCTGCTTCTGTATTACCTTTAGCAAAACTTTACTTGCATGGAATATCAAAGAGATTGTGTGATGATTTCCGCATTCCACTACCAATAGGACCCCATATATATGTGTGTGTATGTTGTTGTTGTTGTCAAGTGCCGTTGAGTCGATTCTGACCCATAGTGACCCTGTATAGGGTTTCCAAGGAGCAGCTGATGAGCTTGAACCACCGACCTTGCAGTTCAAATGGCTTTGCAGCCTGGCGCATTAACCCACAGAGCCACACCAGGTTATATATAGGATGGAGTCTTGGTGTGGTGTTGTGAGTGAATGTGTCAGACTGCAAAGTCTTTTGAACTGCAAGGTTGATGGTTCAAGCTCACCAGTTGTTTCTTGGAAACCCTACATAGGCTTGTTATAGCTTGGATTTGATTCAACAGCACTTAACAACAACAAATATGTAGGATAAGTACTAGACTGATAATTGCATGGTTGATGTTTCTTTTAGGTTTTCAAATGAGCAGCTCATGTTTAGAAAATAAAATAATATTTAAGTAAACAAGATAACAAAGAGAGTAGATGCTAGGAAAACACAGGGCTTACCTCCAACAAGGGGTGCCAGTGGGTTATTGGTTTCCGGTGGTATGCCAGCATTTCATTCCAGTGGTCTCGCCCAAGACCCTCAGCATCCAGTCCTGTTCTACATACTCCTATGACCTCATTGTGTCCTACCCTATGATTCAAAGGATATTATACATTATTTCAGACATTCATAGATAAATAAGGGTTTCACACACTATTAACCATTTGATTAACTTATTAAACTTTGCTATAGGTTCTAGATGATTTCACAGATTAAACTTCTTCAAGTCAAATGAAAAATCCTAAGTAAATTTTACTAAACAAGATTAGAATTTAAAAGTGAATTTGTAAAAAGAGTACACAAAAAACAATTTAGTGCTGTGTAATTTGAACACATCTTCATGATCATCATCATAGTGGAATGAGAAATGCCAGTATGTCCTTACCTTTGTGATGATTTACTTTCTTGAAAGTATTACATTTAAAGGTCTTAAATCGAACCTTGTTTCTTCCACAGGTTTAATGTTTTATAATGATATATAGATGGCTCACCAACAGCACGAAGAGCTAGTTTCTTGTATAAATTACCATATTTATTAACTTACTCTAAACTGTAAGGAGCTCTGGTAGCGCAGTGGTTACGAATCGGTCTGTGAGCCGCAAGGTCAGCAGTTCGAAACTACCAGCGGTTCAGCGGGAGAAAGATGAGGTGATCTGCTCCCATAAAGATTTACAGCCTCGGAAACCCTGTGTAGGGTCACTATGAGTGGGAACCGACTCCACGGCACTTAACAACAACAACACTCTAAACTGTACAGGGTCGCTAAGAGTCAGAACCGACTCCACGGCACATAACCACCACCACCAAACGATATGTCAGTACGCATTCCCACTTGTACTATAATTAGACAGGGCAGAACTATGTTCAGTACCATGGCCTTTAATTTAATATGTCACAGCAGCAAAACAACTGGATAGCACTTCCATTATTTCATTCATGTCCTGTTTTTGCAGCAACAAATTTAATCAAAATAATAACTAGTATTTTTGAGAGTTTATTATATTCCAGATAATATTCTAAGTCATTGAAATGTACAGATAGATTTAATCTTCACAGCATGTATCATTTCACACAATATCATTTCATTTTACAGATCTAGAAACTAAGCACCAGAAATAAAGGAAGTGGACTGACTTTATGCACCTAATAAGAGGTGGAGATGGGATTTGAATCAGGACAGCTGACTGGAGAATGCATGTGGTGAATTATTTCCCAAGAACGGAAAGGAATTTAGAAGAGTTTCTTACCATTATTATTTAAGTTTTTATTGTGAATTGAGCGATAGTGTACATGGGAGAACATCAGCTTTACACTCATCCTATCATCTTTCATTTCATTGTAAAGATTACAATCCCCTCCCTGCATCATCATTCAACAGTATTTGCTTCTCCCCCATCCTCCCTTTT